TCTCTCCTATGTCTCCTGCCTAGCTATTGGCCATTTAGCTTTTTATTAAACTAATCACAGTGACATCCTCATACAGTGTGCAGGACTATTCCACAACAGGAGAGGGCTCTGTGGGTGAGAGCATTTGCTATACAAACATAAGGACCTGAGTTCAAGTCCATAGCATCCACCTAAAATGGTGGGTGTGTCCACAAACACACCTGTAACTCAGTGTTGTGAGAGGCAGAGACAGGAGGCACTTGCTGATTGCCATCCTGTCCCCATGTCAATGAGAGACACTGTCTCAAGGGAGGGAATAAGGTGGAAAGCAATAGAAAAGGACATTTGACATCTTTGTCTGGCCTTTGCACACACATGGAACACACACACACACACACACACACACACACACACACACACACCAAAAGAGAAAAGATTTATTACCAGAACTATGAGGGCAAAGGCTCTGATGTAGGACAGACAGGCAGACGGACAGACTGGTTCCACAGAGGATGGGATGCTGGTAGAGTTGAGATGTGATTTCATTTTCCAAGATGAGGTGAGTGTAGGGTGAAGGGAGGGTACTCCAAGCAGAAGCATCATCAAAGCCAGGGAGGCAGGATGCAGAGCTAGGTAGAATCCAGATGGCTACAACCCCTTGCACTGCCCAGCTGGGGATGGACTTTCTCCCAGGGTTGGGCAGCCAAGGAAGGCTGCAAAAGATCGAGGGTGAGACAGGGGCCAGGCCGTTCCTTTTCCTTTTGATTAATGTTCATTAATTAAGTTTGTTTTTCATCTCTGAGACTGGAACCCTGAGAGTATGCAGTGTGGTTTAAAAATATATTTCAGGGGCTAGAGAAATGGTTCAGCAGTTAAGAGCGCTTGCTCCTCTTCTTGAGGTCCCAGGTTAAATCCCTAACACCCATATGGTAATGAACAAGTCTGTAACTCCGGTTCTAGGGATCCAGTACCTCCTTGTGGCATTTGCAAGGACTGCATACATGATACACACACACACACACACACACACACACACACACACACACACACACAGGCAAAATCACATAAACATAAGAGTAAATTTTTTAAAAAAGAGAAAACACATTCCACATATACTGTGCATACCACACAGTGTACACAACAGCCCCCAACTGGAGGCCATCAAGGAGGGTGAGAGTTCTTGTGGACACTCAGTCCCGCTCCAGGAAATTTGTGTATCATGGGGCACATGAGATTATGTGATGATCATGTGAGGTCCTTAGGGAAGGTCAAGTTCAAGGTTGTCTAACTAGACTGCTGTGTTCAACCTTGACCTGAAGGAGACAGAAAGCCTAAATTCTGAGTCCAGCTCTGCCACCTACTGCCTGGGTGACATTGGGCAAACCCTTCAGCACTTACTGCCTCAGCTTCCCTACCTTGAGAATGCTGCCCCTTGCTGTGGAGGTTGTGATGAGGAAATGACACATGCAGGCAACAGTAAATACAGGAGCTGGCTCTGCAGTCCCAGTGCTCCAGAGACAGAGGCTAGAGGACAGCCAGTGTCAGGTCAGTCTGGACCACACAGCAAGAGCTTGTCTCAAACACACAAAAATGGGGGCATAGTGGGCTCATTTCTGGAGAGCCATTTCTGTACCCAGGCACCAAGCAGGGCCCAGTGCTCACTAGAGGTCAACATAGGATTTCTTTGGAATTTAGGACTTCTCAGTCCAAAGAGATGCATTTGGCTGGGGTGCTTGCTGTGTAAACATAAAAACCTGAGTCCAGTTCCTTGTACCCATGGGGATAAGGGGAGAGAGAGAGAGAGCGAGAGAGAGAGAGAGAGAGAGAGCGAGAGAG